ATACATCTGAATATATAACTGAATATATATCTGACTATATAACTGAATATATATCTAAATATATATCTGACTATATATCTGAATATATAACTGAATATATTACTGAATATATATCTGATTATATATATATCTGAATATATAACTGAATATATATCTGACTATATATCTGAATATATATCTGAATATATAACTGAATTATATTTGAATATATATCTGCTTACAGATCCTTACCATGTAGCCTTCATGAAGCTGAGATGAAATGTTTATTTTTCCAAACATGGCTAGTCGCAGTGCACTTTCCATGTGGATCCCAGATTGTTCATGCTTCTTTGCCTTTTCTAAAAAAATAAATGCTTTAAATCAGTCATACCTGTCTTAATCCATGCTGGGTCAGATCCTGATGTTTGAAAAAGGAGGCAGAGAAAACAATAAAGCTTTTGTTTCCACCTCTTCTTAACATCAATATAGAGGTTGGTTTTTTTTTTTCATTTACCCTGTATTTATACATATAGTCTCACTGAGCCGCGATAACTCATTTTCAAGAGAGACCTGTTTGGGGAGCGGATGGTGGGGGTCTTGCTTGGGGGCCCAGGGTGGGGTGAGGAGTGGGTGTTCCACCTTTTCCACCCACATTTTGATGTTGACGGTACCGGGAATTGAACCTGCGACTTTCCGATCACAAACCCATATTCTAACCTCTGAGCCACCACTCCCCCTCAGTTCTCAGTTCTTTTACTGATGGTATGAAGTTGGCTTTAATATGGGATGTAGAAGCTTACTGGAGCGTATTGTTACAGCAACACCTTGTTGCCAATACTACGCCACTGTCAAACTAAAACACAACGTAAACTTCAATGAGATAACGCAATGAATAAAATAAAGACATAAAAGATATACATAACATGTAAAACATACCTCGCTGACTTTAGAGGTAGAAATAAAGTCCTTACAACTAATTTTAAGCATTCATTAAACTTTTAACTCAAATTGGCCTTTTCTGCTGCATTATGCTGCTCATGCTTCGCCAGGGGGTGCTTCTTCTTTTTGTGGCCCAGCGAACAAACATCCCACATATTAGTTCCTACCTAGAACTTTTTTTTTCAGTTGTATTGTTACAGCAAATAAATGTCCTAATGACACAAGAAATATGTATAATGCAAAATAAAATACATGAACTAAAATTATGGCAGTAAAAAAGCATTAGCCTCACTACATGCACTAATCTGTCAATCAGGACAAGTTTATGACAGACGGCTGTAACGTCAACCTTGCGGTGGGCGGGTGGGACTCCCACCGTGGGAGGGTGGTGAATGATATGCAAATCAAGCTGTATTCAGCTCTGAGCGCAGGAGAGGTGCGCCCAGAATGGTCCTATCTCTTGTATTGAAGAGGAGCTACTGCACATGTGCAAGTTTTAACCAGAGTCTAGGGGCAAAGATTTTTTTTGCACCCCAGGACGGAAATACGTCATCAATCAGACAACGTCGATGAACAAAATAACTTTACTCATTAACTATAAAATATGTTACCTGATGCATCCTCAATATTCCAGGTAGAAAAAGCTAAAATAGGTCTGGTCCTCTGGACATTCAAAAAACAAAACAAAGCAAAACTTTTTGTTGTGTTTTGTTTTGTTTTTTGAATGTCCAGAGGACCAGACTCAACATTTTTAGATATAAAATATTTATCTTACACAACAACAAAAGAATACATATATTTCAAAATAGTTTTATTTTATTGTTCATTTATATTTCTTTTTTTGTTCTTGTCTTATTCAAGGAAATGTGGTCATGACTGTGTAAATGCTTTCTGTATGGTACCATACTGGAAAGACAGAATCTGATGGGATCAGTTTTACATGCACTTCAACAAATAAATGTATATAATACATGTGCAGAGGAATTTTTATTGTATATTTTAATTACAGAAACATCTGAGCTCCATCATTTTAACAACAATCTACAAAGATCTGCTAGGAGTTTTAGTTTTATTTCAGCATTCAGCACTTTATTTTAAAAAGGGTCTGAAGAGCACATGAGTAAGTGTTTGTCTTATGATGTACAGTATTTCACTTCAAAGCTCTTTTATGTTTTTATTACACATTGTTATACTACATTTCTACTGGTGAGATCTGACCAATTTCAACATATTTTTAACCATTCTGACACCTCCAGCAGACCTAGACAGCTCTCGGTTTTAACAATAAAAAAGCTGAGTAACATAGTTTATTGTATCCAACAAAGTTAAGTCAGGTCCTCTGAAAGGTTTCATTTTATTGAAACTTTTTGTCTTTCATCCAAAATACTTCATCTGTGACATCTCCAGACCTTGATAATCTGATAAAGTGTTTTGGATGAAAGATGAAACGTTTCAACAAAAAGAAGCCATCCAGAGGACCTGACTTAACTTTGTTGAATTTTCCTACGTGGATTATTGAGCATGCATGTGGATAGTTTATTCTAATTATAATTACAACAAAAAGATAAATCTACCAAAATAATTAAGAAAGGAAAGTTTAACGTTAAGCTGTGTGAGCTCTGCTGGTCAGTTATCTGGTCTCTGCTCTGCACTTCATTACACCATAAATATAAATTACCGTGAAAGCAAGGGAAATGTATATCTATTGAAATTTATATACCAGTTTGGTTCCAGGTATGACCTAATTTGGGTCTGGACACCAACTATGGATGTTTTATGGTAAGGATAATTAAGAAAGTAAATGCTTTCAGATGTTGCAGATGTTGGATGCTGTCTATCATGGTGCACTAAGATTCATAACTGACTGTAACTACCATACCCACTACTGCACCCTGTATTCACTGGTTAACTGAACATCATTACCTTCAAGCAGACTCTCTCACTGGTACATTTTCATCTTTAAATCACTTCTTGGTCTGCTGCCTTCATACATCTCCTCTTACATGTCTCTGAGTGAGTGCAGCTACAACGTGCGCTCTCTGGACATTATTACCTGCAGTGTCCCCTCAGTGAGTTCTGAACTTGGCAAAAGTCTCATCTCCTACTCGGCTCCTGTTTCCTGGAATATCTTGCAAAAAGATCTGAAGCTCTCAACCTTGACCTCTCTAAGTGGCTTCAAACATCTGTTAAGTTTCTGGCAAGGACCAATGCAGACATGTTCCTGTTTTTAGTTTTCTACATTGCCTTACAACCTGGCTCTTTTCTGTTCAGTGCCCTGAGATAACTTCTGTTGTAACTTGGCGCTACATAAATAAATTGAATTGAATTGTTTTTGTTTCATTTTTAAACACCATTTTCTTTTATTTGTTCTTCTCAATTTGTATGCTTTTTATGATCGTCTACTGTTGTCATCACTCTTTGTTAGAATCAGATCTCTCTTGTAAATGAGTCCCTGAGGCTCAGTGGAATTAACTAACGTGTTAATTAATTGTTAATTAATTAATTAACGTGTCTAAATAAAGGTTGACTGAATGCACTGAGCTCACAGGAAGAGATTTTAACACGGAGTTTTAAAATAAAAGTCATAAATACTTGTTAACCTAAGAACCTTCTTTGAGGTTCCATCTATCCATACATCCATTATCTTTTACCTGCTTCTTCCTTTCCGGGTCGCGGTGGTTACTAGTGCCCATATCCCTGAACGGGTCACTACTAAAAAAAGTTCAATTAACTTGAGATTTGTAAAGACATTTTGCATTTCTGGGCAGTAACTTGGCATTTTCAAAACTTTTGAAGTTTTCTGGTTATGTTGAAGCAATCTGCCGATTTACCGCTAGATGTCACTAAATTGTCCACACTGTCCAAATATTAAGGGAAGTCTGAGATTGTCATCAATGTATGTTCCCATACAATTGTGAAATTAGTTCACTGCATTTAACCCTGAGTGAGATACACTTAGGTGGAGCAGTGGGCAGCTATGTAAGCGCCCGAGAAGCAATTAGGGATTAGGTGTCTTGCTCAGAGACACCACAACATGTGGGAATGGATGGGAGTCGAACCGCGACTTTGACTGCCCTACCTCTACCCCATTTTGGCCCCATTAAAAAGTTCTTAACCATACTGACATCTCTATATTTATATTTTTGTGTTGTATAGATGTAAGTTCATCTCTACGTGGATCTGAGTCCAAGCAACAGAGCCCCCGCCAACACAGAGTGCTGCTGCAGCCCTCAACGTCCGGCTTCAAGGCAGCAGACAGACCACTCACGATTCTGCACATCGAGAGGGAGGACATCATGGAGGAATGCTCAGCTGAGGCTCTGGACTCCAGCATTCAAGACCACGTACCTCCATTGGGTGAGACATACTGCCAACAGGGCCTGAAATTTCTCCAAACATCTGCTTGGTCAAATTTGTTCAAGGACAAATCTTTGAAAGTGCAACTTGTGATTGGACCGAGCAGTTTCTACTCTGTTTATAGGAGACTTTCAATAATAATAAATGGTCCTGAATCATCACAGCAGTGCATGGACTTACAAAAATGTAAACTGCAATGGCACTGCAGAAACAAATGTGTTGCTTTCATAAACAAACACATAAGTATTATTAGTTTTAACAACCTTGTTCAGCTATTTATGGTTGAACGCTGGGTTGACTGTGATTATAGAATAAACCAAGTGTCACTATTAAATCATATTTAGACTACATTAGCCCTGATACAAAACAAACATAAAAAAATAACTGATTTTGATGATAAAACAAAACCGAGTCCAAACAAATAGTAATAGTTCTTCATCCATTCATCCATCCATTATCTTTACCCACTGCTTCCTTTTTGGGTCATGGGGGTCACTGGTGCCCATATCCAGCTATCGCTGTGTGCGAGGCGGGGGACACCATGGACAGGTGTCCAGTCCATCACAAGTACAAATAGAGACAAACAAGACAAACAACACATTCACTCTCTCACTGATACCTAGAGACAAATTAGAGTTACCAGTCAGCCTAACATGCATGTTTTTGGTCTCTGGGAGGAAACTGAAGTACCTGGAGAAAACACACACATAGAACATGCAAACTCCACCCAAAGAGGCCCCCAGCTGGGATTTGAACTGGGGCGACCTGCTCACTGAGAGGCGGCAGCTCTACCAACTGAGCCACCATGTTGCCAGTAATAATACTTGCATCGAAAAAAGAAAAAAAGTTACCTTTTGTGGAATGGAGTCATACGATGGTCATTGAATCCTCTTCTGTGGCCAGACAGACCACAGCTGTAATAACTGGCCCAGGAGATTCAGCAAATCAACTCTGGACTGAGATTTACACCTGAGTTCATCACACACATGTTCAGTTTAAGAAATAGCCTGACCCATCAATAGATGATCTCAACATGATGCAGGCAGTCTACACACATGCATGTACCATGTATGGCGGGTGTCTTGTTGAAAGACTGCACCAGGGTATAAGTTGTGTTCAATCAGGGTTCCCCAAATCACTACCAAAGGGCATCTAAAGTCAGGTTCTATGGCTCCCCAAACCATACTGCCAGGAGGAAAGCTGCTGTGTCTCACCACAGCTTTGACAGGATTTGTCCTCTCTGTTTGGTTTCATTATACATGAACACCAGGGTCATCTGCGGTTATGCAGAAAAGAGATCTAATGCTGAATGTGCTACTTGTCATCAGTCCATAACTCCTGGTTTTGGCACCACTCCAAACATAGCTGTCGCTGCTCCGGTCCACAAATTAGATGCTTTCACATTTTTTTTCGAGTAAATGATTTTGAAAATGGTCCATTAGATGGGAAACACAAAAATAGAAGGATTTTGTGATGTTTGGTGCACAGTGAGATGATCATGGTCATCTCACTGTGCACCAAGCATCATACAATCCCTTTACATTTATGTATCTCTTGGTGTGGGCCATCTTGGGTGACTGGAAGCTTGCTACCTACCATATGTATGTAGCAAGGTAGAACTTGCTAAATACTATGTGTATGTAAAAACATTCATGTTAGGCTGCCTTCAGGCCCAGGCCTCCCTTGTGAAAGAGATCTGTGATCTCAGTGGAATTTGCCTGGTTAAATAAAGGTTAATAATAAATGTGCCATCACATAACCATTGGCTAAAAATTGGACCATTCTGACATTTGAACACCCCATATGTCTGGGAAATTGTACAACATGACCAACTGAGTTCATGCAAACTCACAATGTGACCCCTATCAAACCCCTTAAAATCCTGGTATTGGTGTTTAATATGACTACAAGGCATCCTCTTTACTCACTCACTCACTCACTCACTCACTCACTCACTCACTCACTCACT